TCTCTCTCTCTCTCTCTCTCTCTCTCTCTCTCTCTCTCTCTCTCTCTGCCGCTCTATGTTTTCTCTTCGTCTTATCAGCTCTTTGTGATTGAAAAGTTTCATTTCACTTGGCTTGAATCCTTTCAATCGTTCACCCAAAAATAGCTCAATGTAATTACTGTACACCACATTGAATGTAAACGAACTTCGACCACTTAGGTGCAACAGTAACAACAGTGGCAAGACAATGTGCAGAATAGATATCGAGAGAGAGAGAGAGAGAGAGAAAAGTACTGTAAAGGGAATAAAGGGGTTATATTCGTCCATTGTACTGGCCAAGATGGAAAATAGTAAGACAACACACACACTCACACACACACAAAGTCTTTTCAAAATAGTTTTCGTAAACAGTAATTTATAGAAGCGGTAGCCGGAATGAAACGGAAAACAGGAATTCAATTGAAGAAGTTGGGGATTTTCCTCGTTGTTCGTGCATATTTTTTGTCTTGCTGCTGCTGCTGCTGCTGCTGCTGTTGTTTTGTTTTCTAGTGTTGCAAAACCTTTTGCCATGGCTGAAATTTAATAACAGTTTCAGTGGACAGACTGAAGTTCCAATGAACAGACTATCTCTCCGGTGTGTAAAGAGATTTTCCCTGTTCATTTTAACGACAGAGAAATCTAGAGACAGAGAGGTGAATTAATGTTTTCGTCTCGATTTCGGTGGGAACAAAAAAAGCAAGAGGGAATAAACATTGAAAACTGGCAACGATGCGACGAACAACACCGAAATTATGACGATGGCCAATGAATTTCATCTCTCATTATATTTCATCTCACCTGAGCTTGGAAATTGCGCAGAAAATTTTACTGCTCGTTGTCGTTGCAGCTTTAGCAGCAGCTGAGGAAGTGATTTATACGAATATTGGACGGTCAACAATGAAAACCACCCAAATTCTATCGTTTTATTTCGATTTTTCGATATTGTTTTGTTCGCTTCTCTCTGGCTGTTTTTTTTTCTTCTTCTTTATCTTTTTCCGGAGACGTTTGTTTTTCAATGAATTACGGCCGTGGTGGATTGTTGGAAAAATGCCAATGCTGTTGCATGATGTCGATGCCCTTGCCATTTGCCAAACATATATCTCTTTGTGCTGTTCTGAGTTGTGCATGTTTTATTCAGTCGCATAGTAATTTAAAGCAACAACAACACCAAAAAAAACGACCCCAAGATTGGCTTTGGCTATGTGAATCAACCAGAGAGTGAATTGAATGGACGAAAATCACAACGTTAACGCACCAACAGAGTAAATGACTCGACTCAGCGCCATCCGCATACTCATTCACAGAGACACACACACATACACATCGGTGTGCGGTGCTATATAGTCCCTTTGATACTTTAGTTGCGCTCAGTTTCATTTCACTTCAATTAAATATTACATGAAACAAAGTCAAGCGCAATAAAAACTGCAGAGCGAGCGAGCGAGCGAGCGATTGAGTGAGCACACACACAGCAAAGCAAAACACACATCGTATCTAACGAGAGAGCAAAATGTGTGCGTAACAATGGAACAGCTGCATCAAAATGCCTTTTTCCTACAATTGAAAAATCGAGAAACGAAAGAAAAAAATTACGGCCGAAATAAATGTATATAAAAAAGAAGAAGAAGAAGAAGAGTAACCGGCAAGAGCAACAACAATGGAAAAACTGTGGACTATCAAAGCAGTCAGCATGTGGAAGGGGGAGAAACACTCTGGGTACATCTAATATAATAGTGGTTTAATATATAATTACTGGAATAAAAATCCGTATGCTGTCGTCTCCTTTACCATACCGAAGTTGTTGTTTTTTGTGTCTTTTCTTCGATTGCGTATGTTTGTCGGTTCGATTTAATCGAAGTCTTCGATTCAACGATTGGCAATCGTCGTGTGTCTAGGCAGATCGAAGCACTCTCACACACATAGACGAAAATTGAGCGGGAAAAATCAATTTCGCTGTGATACCAGTATGTTTTTTTTTTTGCTTCTTGAAATGGCATAAATCAAACGGGCAAACTAATCTATGATCCGTTTTGAAGACAACATTGTTAGTTCGTAACGGTTTGTTCCTTTCCTTTTGGCCAGTTAATCTCTCGGTGGTTGTAGATGCGATTCAGCTCTTTCTATATTTTTTTTCATTTTATCCTTGTTTCACTTTCGTAAACAGAAGTACGACTGTTTTTTTTTCTTCGTCTCGGCTTCTCTCGTCTTGTTGTCGCTGTCATTGTCTTGCTTTGTTAATTCCATTACACAAAAGATGGTTCACATAAGTCGATGAACGAAGGGTTCTTTAATTTTTTTTTCTTCTCCTGTTCGTTTCTTATGTTCTCGTCAAACTCTGGATCCTTCTCTTTCAGACACACTCATCGCTTCCCATGCTCGCTGTCTCTCGATCATTCAATATTTCGTAAAGTTTTTTCTGGTTTTGTAACGTCTAAAGGCAACAGTTTAGTGTGTGAGCATTGCGTGCGTACTATTCGCATGCTCTGTCTTTCACAGCTGCTTAACCACCATACACACACACACACACATAAACAGTGGTACGTGTGCGTGCGTGTGTGACTCGGTTGTGTTCAGTTGTTTGATCGTTCGGGGTTGTTGCCTGCATCAAAGATTCAGTGCGCGTCAGTATAGTTTTGAATGAGCGCGCATTCGCATTACCGTGCATTTTTGCATTTGAACCAACGTTGTCAACAAATTCAAACCCAAAATCAAATGGAATACACAAACAAAAACGGTTACAACATGAATTAGTCGCGTCGCGTTAAATCACAAATTTTCTTCTTTTCAGCTCATCAGATCCGGGACGGGGATCGCACACGTATTTTCGTCGATTTTTTTCAACGAAACAACGAAATTTCGAAGGAAAAAATTGAAATTTTAATTTAAAAATAACGGAATTTTCAAATTTTGTTCAAGAAATTTCCGATTAAAAAAAAAAAAATAATCGTAAAAAATCGCAACGAAAGTTTTATAAGTGAAGTGTTTTGATCGCATTAATTTTGTTTATATTGAATTCGTTTTGTTTTGTTCGCATATTACCTTTTTTTTTGTTGAATTGCGTTTTTTTTTCTTTAAATATCAATCGTTACTGTGCATTTTTTTACTAACGATTCAAGTGAAAGAGAATATAAAAATTGGCTTTTGCTCATTTAATATAAAAGATTGATTAATACTTAAACGAAAGAATTTTAAAAAGTGTTAATCATATTGTTAAATTGCTCCGAAATAAGTGACGAAGAATTTTTCAAGTAATTTTACATCCTGATCACTGCTGAGATAGCAAAAAGATGTCATTTTCGAAGGCAAAACTCAAACGGTTTAACGAAGGTACGTGCAAAATAAAGAGCGGCAAAAATGGTTGTTTTTCATATTCCACCATTGAGCCAATTCATTGTGAGTATTGTATGGAACGAGTGAATGTTTGTATACGCTAGGCGCGCTCATTATGAACGGTTCTTTTCGTGTTCTTTTCTTTTCGTCTTTGGAACATCGACGTTATGTGTTTTGGTGTCGTGAAGAATATAATTAGATCTCGTCACGGTTTGTCTACTTTTTCATTGTTTCCTTCCGCGATGTGCGTAGCAATGGTGTATTTGTGCGTGTGTGTGTGTGTGTCAATTCGACGTGGCGAGGGTCACACATAATATGATGGTGGCTAATTTAACTATAGAAATGTTCAAATCGTTCTATTCGACTGCATTTCACAACCGTATCTTCCTTTTTCTTGTTCCATGCTTTATGGTCTCTTGCTGTTCATTAATTTTCTCCAAACAAAAGACAAATGGGATGGCTCTTTTCTCTCTTTCTGAACCAAAAAAAAAAAAAACACCGAATTTTATCATAACGGCTGGCACTCACTGATGATATCGAAGTTTTCGCCTTCTTTGATTTCCGCCTCAAAAATCGTTGTGCCGTTGAACAATTCCATTCTTGATTTATGCCTCTGCATATTTCCGCCATCGTTGTCATTATGCACTGTCAATTGTTTTATGGCGTGCAGTAAACATGGTTAGAATTCCAACGGAAATCGATGCCAACCAACGGAAATTGAATAAACTGCCCTATCTTCTCTTTCTTCGGTTGTGTCTTTCTATCTGCCTCTATGTGTGTATGTGGCTACGCAGCAAGTACGAAGTAACACGATAAATCGACTCCTGGCACTGCTCATTGCGTATCCATTTTCACCGATTCAAATACCATTTTCCATAACAACAGCCGATTTGGTTTTTTTTTTCTTGTTCCATTTCTCTCTCTCTCTCTCTCTCTCTCTCTCTCTCTCTCTCTCTCTCTCTATTCGCCTCGCTTTGATTGTTTTAATCTCATTTTTCGCTTTATATTCTAATTCACAGTGAGCGACTCACCGTACAGCGAACGCATGGAGCGTAAGGACAGCATCCGACGCTTTTTGCGCGAACAATTCCGTGACGACAAAAAGAAAGTGAAACAGGAAAAGGAAAGCAAAGAAAGCAAAGAGAATAAGGAGAACATTGCCAATGCTGCATCATCTGCATCCACCAGCTCAAATTCAACCACCGCACCAGCCACCGAAGTTAAGGAAACCAACACGGAAACAAAGAGCAAAAGCAGCGCATATCGTCTGTTCAGAACGGTGAGTTTTCAACAATATTTTGATGGATATCGGTTTAGGGAATTTCCATTTAGTTTTTTCAATTCATTTTTTATTCGCTTTTATTCGAAATTCAAATCTATTTCATTCGGTTCAAGCCATTAATTTGATAGCTAGATCTTTGGTCATTGGATCAGGCATTACATTATTTCTTGCCGAAAATTCGTACATTTGCAATTAGAACTAGACTTAGATGGTTGCCATTCAATTTCATTTTCACTTACCAATCATTTTTGTTAGAATCATTCTTCCATCTCACACATTAATGAACGTCCTTTGGCCGACATTTTTCGATCCGTTCACTATGAACCGATAAATGATACGAAAAAAAATTCAAACCAAACATGAGTCTCATTGTAAACATATTCTCTTTATCAATTGCAGCCATCGCTTCCACGTCGTTTGCGATTCAATCGTCAGCATTCGGATTTGACGCCATCGAAGAAGGGATCGATCACCACGTTGAAGGAGAAGGAAAAGGAGGCAATTGATGTGGCAAATGAGGATATCAAGGCAAAATCGGAGCAAATTGCCGAACAAACGGTGTTGATTGCCAATCTGCGTGAAGAATTGACTCAGTTGAAGCAAGCAAATTTGGAAAAGAACGAGTCAATTGTCGAAAAGCAGCGTGAAATCGAGGATTTGCAAGATGAATTAAAGAAGAACGAAGATGCTCACAATCAATTGAAGGCCATGGATGCCGAGCATTTGGCAAAGATCAATGTACTTGAAGGTGAGATCAAGACAATCATTCGTGAACAAGACGAAGAGATGAGCAAATTGGTGCAGAAAAACACGAATCTCGATGTAAAATGCGACAAATTGTCTGCGCAAAATCGTTCGTTTGCCGACGAAATTAAATTGCTGAAAACGGACATGGAACGTTGTCGCGAGGAAATCGAATCGCACAAATTGCAATTGCAAGAACAAAAGGAAAAGTGGCAGGAGAAGGACACCGAGTTCCGCAAGCTGTTGGACGAAAATGTTCAGCTGCTCGAGGGAATTGAGCGTATCAAGAAGCAATCGGACGATGATATGCTGGGCTATGCGATGGAAAGTCAAAAACTAATTGTCGAATTGGAAACGGTGAAGCGTGAAAAATCGAAAATTATTACGGAATTGTGCCGTAAAGAGGAGTTGTTGAACGAGCTGCAAGAGGAGTTGGGCGGTAAAACGGTTGAAATGGATGCGGAACGGGATGAAATCAAGGATTCAATGAATTTGGAAATGAACGCTGTGGTCAAGAAGTACGAGCAACAAATTGCCACATTGAAAGAGGTGAATGAGATGAAAGTCAAGGAAATTGAATCGATTGCCGTGTTGGAACAAGCCAAAATGCTGAAGGACCACAAAGAAGCGTTGTGCAGTTTGAAAGAGGCCAGCGACAAAGAGCGTGAACGCATCAATGAATTGGCCGAAGAAAAGATTCGCATTGCTGAGATTCAGGCAGAGCAAAAACTCAACGGCATGGATGCAACCATCGATCAGTCCATTCAACAGGAGAAGCAAATTTGGCGAATGGAAATCGAAAAATGCCAGAAAATTGCCGAACGTGAAATTATGCAATGCGAATTTGAGAAACAAGACCTTAAAACCCTATTGGATTCGGCCAATGACTTGATCCGTGAAAAGGATGAAAAGATCGACGAATTGCAGAAGCAAATTCGGTTTGAAATTGCCCAATATGTGAAAAGTCGCGAAGAATTGGACGCCGAAATGGAAGAAACGCAACGTGAATGTACTCGCCTGTTGTCCGATCGCTACAATTATCAAATGGCATTGAAAAACCATCAGGCAACCATGAAAATTCTCATGGAACGTCTCAAGAAATCCGACAAAGACGTTGAAATCCTGAAAGCTGAACTTGACACGGTCATTGCATCGAAATTGGATGTCGAAGCAAACAACTTGAAATTGGTGGAAGAGGTGCAAATGCTATCAATGGAAATTGATGAATACCGCCATGCTTTGACCGCTCTGCGCAATTCATCCGTCAATCTGGAACGTGAGATGCTCGAAAAGGAATCGGTTTACGAGAAAATCATGAGCTCCGAGCAGGAAACACTCGAAACCGTCAACAAAATTGGCAAACTATTGAACGACAAAGTCGAAGAGAATATCAGCAAATACGCCGAACTGTACAATGACATCAAGAAAAAGTACGATGTTCGTGAGAAATACATTAAAGATATGAAATCATTGCTCGAAGAATTTGCCACCGGCATTGAATTGGCTCGCTTGGAGTTGGACATGAAGGAAAAACAATTGCTCGAATTACAAGAAGAGAACAAAAATATTAAGCTAGAAATTATGACGTACAAATTCAAATGCGAACAATTTGAAAAGTATGAACTTGAACAGCGCGTACCAAATCCATCGCCCGAACTTGTCAATGAGCTCGAAAACGATTGTGACAAATTCCCAACGATGGCCGCCGACGATGCAATGGTTTCCAATCAACTCATCGAAAATATCATCGTTCAATTGGAGAAAGAAGCCCAGAATGAATGCCTCAAAAATGAATTGAACACCGAAATTTACAGTGACGAAGATAAAATTACCGCCGAGAATATGCAACTCAAAGAGAAACTCGTCGAGAAGAACCGACAAATCGAATTTCTGCAAGAAATGGTCGAAATTGAAAACGGACACGCCACCGAAAATATCTCACTCAGACGCAAGGTAAGCTAATGGTTTTTTTTTTTAGATTAGAATACTCACCCAATTTTGAACTGTTGAAGAGAGTCTGTGTTTTGTTACTTTTGTTTGTCAATATTGCATCACACTGGCTCAATTATAAGCCTGCTACAACGGTAGCACACTCCGTGGTGTTGAAAATTCCTCCTGTCTTCTTTTGTTAACTTTTTTTTTTGTAGACACGGAATTGAGGTCAATATAAATGTGTTTAATTCTGATTGTCGATTTGATTTGATATTGATTGATGGTCAAATTTAACAAGATTTCAGTTATCAATTTTAAAATTGAGTTAATTCTGTGTAATAGCTAATTGAATAAATCAGAAAAATTGAATAAATTGAATAATGTTGAATCAAATTTCTTTGAAACAGGTCAGTGAATTGGAGCACAAAGTTCAGTACATTGAACAATTCGCAAATGAAACTGTCGAAAAGTACCAGGAGATAGCCAATCAACAACAGAGCCGCCAACAAATTGACGAACTCAAGGAGAAGAATAAGCAACTGAAGAACGTAAGTTTCACTCAGTTTCTCTTTGTTTACTCATCAAACAAAATGTTCTTGGAAAAGGTTGCACTCAAAGTTGCCAAAAATTAATGGAAAACTTTGAAATTCACAAAGAAAATCCATTGAGTACCACTCAATTTGGCGATCAACAATTTTCTATGAAATTTTGTAGTCTTTTGACTTCACCGGTTTTCCATGTTTTTTTCTTTTCAAAATCTATCGGATATTCTAACAACTAATTAGATAGTATCTGAAATCCAATTAAAATTGCCTTTTCTGGCATAAAAACTCCATTTTTTTTAATGGTAACCGTTTTTCCTAATCAAAGCCTGCTTCCTAATCAATTGCTTTCCATTTCCAGAAAATCATGAATTTGCAGGATGCAAACAAGGAGAATGAGACGACCATATCGGAGCTGAAGGACAAAATTCATTCTGGCAATGATCGTACTCCATTGAAGATGAATCGTTCATTTAGCAATATCACATTGAATACGCCACGCACACCGAAGACGCCAAAAACACCAGCCCTTGCCGGAAAAGAGAATAACTCACCAGCAATGGTTGTGTTGAGCCCACTGCGAGTGCGAAACAACTAAACAAAACCATGCAAGCAAAAAAAAAGAGAAAAAACTTTTAATTTATGTCAACCATACCGCTACAATGCGCTCTGCGCTCAATTTAACTTATTCAAGGATTTAAAAGAAAAAAAGACTATTTAAGAGGCTAAACATGTTTTGCAGTTTTGTGTTAAATTCAAATCCAATTTTTTTCAGTATATTTAAAAAGCAGAATAATTTATTTGACGCATTTAAAAAAAGAGGAAGATTATTTATGGCACAAATTAATTTTTTCTTTAAATCATTTCGTTGAATTGTTACATTTATATGCCGACTTACCACAATTGTTGTCAATTAGAGCTGCCCGCACACGGAAATCAAGCTAAATATTAGGTCAATTAAGGGACAAACAAAATGTAGACTAATTTCGGTGAATGAAAACGAAAACCATTGGGAAAAATTAGCATACTTACACAGGACCATACAAAGAATACAAAATCCATTTATTTTATTTTATTTTCGTCTTATCAGAATAAAGTGGCCAACCAAAAAAAAAAAAACGAAACACAAAAGTATATTCGCACAAACGAAAACTCAACACACAAAAAAGATGTTCGTTACTAAATTTTCCATTTTATTTTTCAATTATTCTGATTAATTATAAACAATAAAAATTAATTTTAAAATTACACAAAAAAATATACATATGGAGTTGTGTTTTATTTGTTATCTTCTGTTGTTTCTTGTTTTTTTTTTTCTATTGATTAGCAAACATCAACGTTGTCGGTTCTCTTAGCTCGAAATTTGTTTTTTTTTCTCATCTGGGTTATCTCTTTATACGATCGGTTAGCCTTAAATTATATGTTTGCATCGGAAAAATTGGAATTTCCAATTTCATTTTGCTCTTGAATTGCTTGCTTGTGTGTAAATAGTTTATCCTAACCGTAGCGATGAAGTTGCGCTTTCCCTCTCTCATTTTCTCTTTGTGTTTTTTTTCTTCGTGTTTCAGGTTTTATAAATAAAAAATAATTTAATTTTGGCTCATTTATTTATTAAATGCAAAAAAATTTTTAAGCAAATCACAATTGAACTAAAAAAAAAAACAGGGTGAGCGAGTAAAACTAACAGTGTTCGCCGAATTTCGTTGCGCGCCTAAACAGAATGAAATCGAAAACAATTGGCTGGATATAATTCAAAGTAATAGTTTCATGTTCATTGCACACAAATTGCTTTCAATTCGAAATATCCCATTGATTTTTCCGTTCGAAATGATTGTATCCACTGGATACGGCTAAAATATGGCTTTCGAATAAAATTCAATGCAGAATTTGGCTTTCAACGGAAATTCCATGCAAAATCCAGTGCTCACCGGGCGAAAATTTAGTGTTTGTTATTTAGTGCTCAACTTTTAAAATTGGTACATTTTGCGTGATCAAATCAAGCGAATGTTAAAAATCAGCGTGTAATTAAACATTTTTTCTATTGTTTCTCTTTCTCTATGTGTGTTTGTTGTTTTATTTTAAAATAATTCCGAAATTTCGTTGTATAATCCCTAGAATTATTAATAGCGTTGTTTGTTGATTCGAATAGAAATTGTTCGTCAATTGAATTGATTACTTTTGTGTACTCATCGCAAAATCGTCGCGCTTAAGCGAATAAAATTTTCCAAATTTTCTCTATTAGCAATAAGTGTTTCGTTTTTATCTCCGTTTATAAGAATGCATACTTATGAATGTGTTTTTCTTGTTTGTGTAAGGAAATGGGTGTTTTCTTTCTAGCTTTTTTTTCATTCTTTTTCATACTTTTTTCATGTTTTTTTTTTGTTTTTCCGTTTATCTGCTGCGTCTTCTTGTTTGCTTGCATTTTCGAGACCAACAGACAATATACAAACGAGTAGAATATGCAACATTGCATACGTTTATGTTAATATTGGGTTATTTCTATTATGTCAATCTGCTTCGCCCCATCGAATGAAAAGCGACACATACACACATTCCTTGTACGATGAATTCAATGGCATTGTGAATTCTTAATAAGATTCCGATTTGTAAAAATATGCTCTCCAATCTTCAATGCTTCGTTTCGAAAGTTGGGGTAGGAGGGAAGAAGAGTAACTTTGTGCACACAATTGAATTCTTTTCTCGTTGAATGGCAATAGAAGGAGCGTTTTGCAATTGGTGCCAAATGGCTTGATAAAAACTCTACATGTTCATTTCGGACACAGCACTCGATTCGAGTGATTCGAATCGAATCAGTGTCCAGTGTTGCAATTTTTGTATGTCGCTCCTTTTTTTTTATCAATCTGATTGCATATATTGCCATTGACAATAAAATTTCGGATGAATTAAGATATATATATAAAAAAAATAAAACTGGAAGCCAGAGAAAGAAGGAAAGAAACAACAACAACAGAACAAACAAACAAAATTAGTATTTGAAAAAATCGAAATATTCGATATTGCATTTTAGTAGTTTCTATACAATACAAAGATAAATATACATACAGATATAAAGCACTACAGTAAAAATTGAAGACATAAATATTGCTTGAATTGAATTGAATGGATGCTTCGTTTTTCTTTTCTACTTCGTTTCCTTCATTTTGTTCACACTTTTGATCGTTCATTACAATTTCCTTCGCTTTTTTTTGTGTGTGTGAAATTTGGCGTTTTAGTTTGTTGTTACACAAAAAAAAAAATTCGTTTAGCTCAAGAGTCTGTGGCATTTTTTTTTCTTGTATGAGATTCTCATGTGTTTACCTCTTTCTATTGTTGTCTCTGGAGGATTGTACGCCATTTGTTGAGACGCCACATTTACATTTCAATGAAATAAAAGTCCATAGTAATACCGTTGGCATTTGAATTGGCTTTGTTCAGACTCTAATTATTAACACTATATCCTCATCGCATCTACCTTCACTAATAAATATATCTAATATATTTTTTTTTTGTAATTGCTCATCTTTTGCAATCGCACATATTAATTTCCTTATCATTTGTTTTCTTCTCTCGAGTGTGTTGTCAATGGACATTTTGGCAAATTATACAAAAAAAAGCAAATAGTATAAAGAGGAAATAGATTCGTTGCAGCCCCGTGTCTTACGACCAACACACACGTTCGCGCATTGACAACAAACAAACAGGAACTCAGGCATATTACGTATTGTTCTTCTTTCTTGTTTCGCTCGCTGATGATTTATACAAATACACCACACAGCACAACGTTTGCTTGGCATTCTGGGTTGGTTGTTTTTTTTCTATTCTCTTCTGGATAACGTTTGCTGCTCGTGCGTGGTACAAACATTTGTGACTCTTCGGGAATTTGTGAGAATTTTGTTTTTATTTTTGTATTTTTCTGTTGTTGTGACAAGAAAAAATGGAAACCGATTTTGTTTTTATGCATCGTCACAAATGATGTACTGTTGTTTGTCGAGATTTTTCACATAGCAATTGATGCCGATTTGTAGTGATTTGGCACGAACGGGTGTTGGCTGATCGACTTCAAGGCTTCGATCTGCATCGGGCAGGGTGAATGTTGGATGTGTGGTCACAGAAGCGGATGCGGCGTCGAAGGTACCAAATCTTCGATTGGGGCTGACGTTCTGGAAGGATGACGCAATATCGAATGGCGTATGCGAATATTGCACGGTTTCTGGATGTTGATCGTGCAACTCAACGAATGGTGGAGCCACTTTCAGGCGACTGATGAATGTTGAATATATTGATGGTTGTGCATGCGGTGGTGGTAGTGGTGGTAGTGGTGGCTGCTGTTGGAAGAAGTGCTGTTCACTTCTGAATGAAACTGGTTCTCTGTTAAATGGCACCGCTTCTTTTACTGGCAATGGCCCCTCATAGTCAACATTCCGTACAATCTCTGGGCTGATGCTCGCCGTTTGGGATCTTATCGAATCGTAGTCAAGCGGTTCTTCGGTTGTTGAATCGCTGCCCAAATTGGCGCCACTTCCGATTGGAACACCACCGCTCAATGCCTCCTCAAAGTCAAAATTTTTACCAATCGACTCGGCCGATTCACTCTTTACCACCGGTACATTAAACTGTCGCACTGGTTTTGTTGGCACACTGTCTCTATCATTAAACTCAACGCTTGGCCCTTGAAACAGTAACTCTTCAGCCAATCGTGTACTCAAGTTCTTTTTCTCATCTTCAAATTGTGCACGAATCGACCCATCCGATGATTTAACCAATTCATCAATGTTCAAACGTCCATCGATTCCGGTGTCAATGACGGGCGCAAGTTCCGCCTCAGGTAATTCATCGTCAGAGATGACCGACGCATTTTCCATTCGATAACGTGGCTCAACAATGCTGACATTTATATTTTTACCAACGGCCGGATCGATTTCTTCGGGTGTTTCAGGTGATGGTATGAAATAGGCATCGACCACTTCAAATGAGTCATTTTTTTCGGGCAAGAGTCCTTCGTCTGATGTCGTACTACTTGATTCAATGGGTTTTTGTGTCGGAACCGGAATAGTCGAACTTTCAGTTACTAATTTGATGTCAGGTTGTTCCGTTGACAGTTCTGGTGCCAATTTCAAATTCATCGATTTCACCGATGGTTCGGTAATGGATTTGTGCTCGAATTCCTCATCAAATATTACGTGTTGATTTGGTTTCTGTTCAATTAATTGAGCATTATCGGTGTTTGGGGTGATTTTTGGTTGTGTTTCGCTAGCGGATGACACCGGTAAATTCAATTTATCTTGCGTTTCAATAGATGTTTTTGTCGTTGCTTGAGTAGATTCTGCCTCAACATTTGACGATTGCCCGGTGAGTTCGGTTTCCTGACTTTCGGTGGAAGATGCCATTGAATTGGTTTCAGGTGCTTCAACATTTTCTACTGTTGGTGTCAATGATACGCCTGCATCGGTATTTTTCTCAAATCTTTCACTTGAGTCCACCGATGAAGTGACGGTTTCGATTTGTTCCGTGCTGGATGCATTATCGTCTTCAATCAAAAAGCTCTTAACCGACGATGATGCGTTCTCAGTTGATGCATCAGGGATTTCCGTACTTGAAACGCTACGAATTGAGCTGGATACCTGCATCGAACTTGGATTTTCATCGATTAAGCTTTCGAAAGTGATCGTTGCCATAGATGATTCGGATGGATTCGAATTTTGTCCATGAACTTGGTTGTTGTGTGTGCTTGAGCTTTGACTGGAAGTGGTATCAACGGTATACGCGGTTGTACTCGACGGAGCAGTACCCGATGTGGTGGAAACACTGGCAATCGGATTGAGTTTCGATTCGACATTAACGCCTTCGGAACCCAAATCAATGCCAGTGGTCGATGCACGAAAGGGCTGGTTCACCTCTCGATTGTCTGTATCAGCCGAAGTGGTGCTGGTACTGGTGGCTACAGTGATAGTCGTGGTGCTAGTCGTTGTCGTAGTGGTAGCCGCTGTCGTTGAGCCCTCTGTGGTCGGCGCTGCCGTAGCGGCGACGGTGGTGGATGGCACGATCGGCGACACATGTGAATCATCCTTAACAACTCTATTCAAATTTGGGAACGTGGTTTGTTGCGTTTGTTGTGGTATACGATTATCACCACTAAAACCCAAACTCAACGGCACCGTATATTGACCGTTTGCATTCATCGATTCCGTTGACTCTCCATATTCACTGTAATCATAATCGTCTTCGTATTCGGTGGTCGCTGTGCGATTATTTTTCAATAGCGATTCGATTTGCTTTTTTAACATTTGCAATGGGTCAATTTGTAGGGTTTTATAACATCGTCCATCCGGTCCGAGTTTGTGATCAGGTGCACAGTTTCCTTTCGATTCATTCAAATTTGGCGTGATGAATATGGATTTGGGGATTTTGCGCGTTTTATCATCCGGCCGATGGGTATCAATGGTGAGCAATGCCTCCCATACTAAATGATCGGGATTATCTTCCAGCGGCTTTGAAATTATCGGCAGACTACTGGCCAACGACACCATATACATACACAGTAAAATCGCAAATGCTTTCATCTTGGTTAACAATGTTCTTGCTCTTTGTTTCTCTCACTCTCTTTCTATCAATGCGGTCGCTTCGATTTTTCAAACAGCTTTTTTGTGTTGGTGATTTTCTGAAAGTAAGAAGAGGCAATTTTTTTTGAATTAATTAAAAGATTTTATGATTCGGATTAATAGTGATTTTATTAATAGAATCAATTGAGAAATTTGTAGAATTAACCGAATTGAAATCCATTTAATTTATTTGGTCACTAATTAATGGTATAAAAATTGTCGCAAAATAAGCGTGAGTTATTGTCTGTTATTCAAGAGAGATAAGAATCAACAGAAGGTGAAAATATTTCGAATGAATAAGGCGCCTCGTGTTCAACCAAAAATGAACCGATTTCGAAGCGGAATTTCTCGGAATTGATTATAAATGAATATTCAGTTGAATTGTTGTTACCTTCATAATTTTTTCTTTTTTCCATGTCCGATGAAAAATGGCTAGCACATAACCTTGAGATGCATTTGTTCTTCGTGTCTGACTCAAGGATGATGTAAAAAGTCAATAAAAAAAAATTCTTTCGGCTGTTGTTAGTGGTGGCTTTTTTTTAAATATAATTTTCGTCGAATTTCGAGTAAATATAAAATGAGTCAATGATTCATCAGAATAAATGGTTAAATGAGTATTTTTTTTTCGAATCACACGGTACGTCTTCGGCAACGGATCTGCAACGAAAAGTAAAAAAACGAACAAAATCAAACAATGGAATTAGGTAATGATTGATTTTTTTTTTTAGTTATATGGATGTTCATATAAACAAAATGTGTATGAAGTGAAGCAGCAGTGATTCAACTGCATTCGATGTGTGTATGGTTGGAAATGTGTGTGCATCAGCGTAATTCGATGAAGCATCATTTATAAAACGCATCATTGAAAATGAGGAAATGAACGCAATTGTATCGTTGAATCTGAGCTGGCGTCAGCATATAAACACACTCACACACACACACACACGGAGAGACACCCGAGAGCTTGTTTGGTTTGTGCAAATAGAATTTGTGCTGACGGAATTTGTAAATTAAACAGGCGAATGAACAGATTGAGCAAGAAAGAGACAAAGCGAAAAGAGACCCAGACAAAAAAATAAATAAAATGTGCATAAACAAAAAGCAGCTGTGAATAAGCAAGCCAGCAAGCAAGTACACACACAGTAGAAAACATGTTGTTCGGTCGTGTACCGAAAATAAAAACATTGTATAATGATTAGCAATTACAGTTTTGTGCGTCGCCAAATGAAGTGGCCCGGATACAGTGGCGGTCGCATTTGTCTAGTTGAATTTTTGTTTGTCGCTGGAAAAACGAAAAACAGAAACAGAGTGCGATGGCAAATGCATACGTACACACACACATACACACATGACGAGACTAAAAAAAATGACATGAAACAAATTGGATTTGCGCGAGGTAGAGCCCCGGTAGCTGCCGAAAATATCGACAATATTGACACATTCGATCCGGGGGAAAACCCCATTTTCTCGCATAAAATCCATTTGATTTGACTTTGTAACATGCATTCGGTATGTATATTGTTCAAAATCCAAATGATTTTAGTGAATGCTGCACATTTTTTTCAACCTCTGGTTTACACACATATACAACACGATGGGTGGTTGTCACTTGATCGAAATTGCATCGCTTTGGCCCCGACCGAAATAAATCCAAATAATCAAATGGATTCGGTGATTTTATTCGATTTTGGCGCCATTTGGTTTGAGTGTGTGTGTGTGTATGAGTGACACAGTCATTTTAATTCTCGTGCTGATAACAAATGCACATTATTCAAATCGTGCTTTTTTTTGTCCGCCGCATTTCCAACAGTTTCACCGATGGCATAAACCACGCATGCAATTTAATACGATTGCTGGCTGCTGTGTGTGTGTGTTTCTTTTTATCGTGCTCACGATCCCGGGTGAAGCGGATAGAATATGTGTTGTGCGCGGGTATTTTTTGTTTCATTGGAATTTTAGATGTGCATTGAAAAATGCATGGGTACAATTTGTCAATGGGCGTCAAAGTGTAGCGAATGAATGGTGTTTTGTTTGCCAGAACAGTCGAGCGTGTGTGTTCGAGAGAGTGAGAGAGAGAGTGAGAGAGTAAATTCGATTTCCGGCAAAGCAATGAAGATCACATTTGGCACATTATCACTACATTTCTTATTGTAATTTCATTTTTGACACAACACCTTTGTCGCTGTCGGCTTCAAGCACAATCCTTTTTGCATTTGCCACCACACACATTTTCACTTGTACAATTCATATATGTATATATATATTTTTCTCATTCTCTACTCGTTTAACGTTTGGCAAAACATGGCATGTTGTTTACATTTTCCGATAAAACTGACACACACACACACACGATCTCGGTATGCAAATAATTGTTAGGATGTGCTCTCAGGTGCAAACTCGTGCGTAAGTAGACAAGTAAAAAAAACTGCCACCGATAACAAAAAATGATGATGACGAAGAAATAGCATAAAGTTGATTTAATGCACGTACAAAATGAATAGCACCAGCTTAAATTCAATAAATACAGAACTGATTCAATGTGATAGAGTGAAAAAACCATGCGCACGAGACAGTGTTTGTTCTTGTGCCGACGTTGGATTCAAAACTGAAGCACAGCAGAAAATTAGTGCGAGTCTTGATTTATGTGTTATGTGTTATGTGTCAAGCGTGTTAGTCAACGAAATAGACACACTGTGTGACACTCTCTTCATGTATACTCTGCCTCACTCCTTCTCATTCTCTCTCCCATTCTACCTTTTTCGGTGCCATTTATCGACACATTCACCGTTAGAAGTGTATCAACTGAATTTTACACAAGCAATGCAATGTCAATACCCACTATCTCTGCAAAACAAACATACACACACACACATTCGTCATCAATCCAAAATCAAATTTGCCAAATGCTATGCATTTGATATATAAATTTTGATCAGCAGCTATTGGGACTTTAGCCGTCTGTTGGCCGAAGTCGGTAATTAACTTTCAAACGTTGATGGGCAAACAAATTGATTTTCAACAACTTTTAATTCACATTATTGAAGCTGGTTTTGACTAGTCGCATTCAGTCTTCGTCCCCTTCTTTCCTGCTTTGACGCAGTTGAAAATGAAATGGGAGAGCGAGTGTGTGTTCTTGTGCCAACTTGTATGTGGGAGAGATCGAAGGAGGGAGAGATTGAGTTAGCCGCATGAAATCAGGAGGATGAGTGCAAATTAGCTGCAAGAGACCAGAGCAATCGTGTTAAAATTTAATGCAATTAATGTTTGTATGGAAACTTGAACAACATTTTTTTAGCTGTTGTTGTCGGAAAAGAGTTTTTCATTCTTAATGCTATAGACGGAAAGTGAGATGTAGAGAAAAAAGACAAAGAGCTCCCTCAGCGTTGTTGAGAAATAGACTGGAACAGCAATTTAATAGTGAGAGGAGAAGAGAGTGAGGCAAAGATGAAATGACTGAAAAAGAGAGGCGTAAAGTGAGTCGAAATAAATGGAAGCGACTGCATCGAGAAGTGTTTGAAACGAAAAATTGTGCAAAGTGCAAAGTGTGTGTGTGTGTATATAGTTGAAGAGGTTGCATAAGGATCATGAAACACGCAAAAACCATCGAAATATGGTTTTTGTATTGGCCGTAGAGTGTGGTAACTTTGAAAGAAAGAGCATTAAGATATACGCATTCTGGGGTACTGGGCAGCTGGCATCTGCTCAATTACAATGAGCACTATTGTAAAAATGATTATACGGAGATCATGTTCATTTGCAAACAGTGGATTTGCAGCACCACATTTGCTGTATTATATTTTGGATGCCACAAGCAAATAATGTTCCAGGCAATCAACAAGATTGGGTTAGGTCAGCTTCTCATTCTTAGAAAATATGTTATTTGCAAAATTGAGTGTGTGTTTCAACTTTCTCTTTCAAAAACTCTCCATATATGCACCGTACAGAGTTCAAAATACAAAGCCAATCAACTCATAAAATGGTAATGCCAATGGTTGAATTGTCCAAAATCGTTGCTCTTCGGTCGAATTCGAATAATCTAAATTGCTGATAATTTGCATTAGGTCAGTTGTGTGTGTGTGTGTGTGTGAGTGTGTCTCGCAAATTGTGTGCTCAGATGCAATGCATATTGAGTGGCAAATTAAGTTACATTGTTGTGTAGATTAATAGCAAGTTTGAAAGGCAGTCATTTTGGTGCCGACACCAAATTGCCACTAAAACCAGATCATATATGTTTCATATGTCTTGAGAGTCTCATGCCGATTACGATCATGCCGATATACATCAAGCCAAAAAACCAACAAAAAAAATACCATTCAACCGTAGCATTTTATTCCGGAATTTTCAGTTCAATTTGCGCACGACAGCAATGAATGTGAATTCAAGATCGACGTCTGTACATACATTGAGAAGCAACTTAGAAATCGGTCGAAATTCCCGCAAAATGAATGTACAAAAGAAGAGGCGAACCAGAAGAGAAAAAAACACTCATACTGAAATGCATCAATTTATTGAATGGCAAAAATGAAAAATTTAATTATTTTTTCATTATAACTTTGTGTTCTGGGCATATGTGTGTGTGTGTGTGTGTGTGTGTGTGTGTGTGTGTGTGTGCGATTTTTTTCTCGTTGCGAGAATGCAAATTCGAATTCAATTCGATGCAATCGATCGAAGTTTTCCAACTGAAAATTTGATTGAAGTTTGAAATGAATTTTCAATTTGATTTAATTTCATCGTCGTCGTCGTCGTCAATATGTGTATATAAAGTACTCAAGTGCTTCGCTTCTCTGACTCTGAACACACTCGGTGTGTACGTTCCGTTTGTTTTATGACGGAACAAATTCTAATTTGTTTAGAAGCAAACCAATTTCAATGATTCTCGAAGATTCTAAGAAATTTCAGGCATTCAATTCAACTCGAAGAAAGAGCAACAACACCATCTGAATTTTGCAACCAAAATGCTAAACCAAAGGAAAAACTATTGCATTTCTATCTAGACAGTTTCAATGTGAACTTCACATTGTGAAGTGCACTTCAATTAGCAAAATGCTGCTGCAATTCATTAAATTGTTGAATGAACATGAATAGCCCGAGTTTATGGCTTCATTTATATGTGATGCGATTTCTAAAAGTATAACATGGTTGTGTGGACTTTGTGTGCGGTCGGTGTGTTTATTTCTGTGTGAAATGTCATCCGATATGTTTCTTTCTTTCAACGATGTTTTCTTTTCATAAGACAGCTTTACGTAGTGCGAGTAAAAAGGATGAATAGAACCGCACTCTTCTCGGTTTGATAATCAAAAATGCGCTCGACTCGACGCAAACACAAAGGCATCGAGATGTGATTAACAGAATGTTTGTAAGCAATATCGACCATCGATTAGATCTCCATCTCTCTCTATCTTTTGCTCAATATTCGTCAGTTTGTGATTGTTTGTGTACGAACTGAGTCGCTCAGTCTGACTATAAACCGTTTGCTTCAGTTTATATAAATTGATGTATGCGTCTCTCTCTCTCTCTCTCTCTCTCTCTCTCTCTCTCGGTGTGTGCGAGAATTTCGGCCATTTCAGCAAATACTGTCACTATTTGAGGCTCTTGCTTGCGGTTTTGATGTTGTTCATATTGTGCACGCTGTTGAAACTCCAGCATAATCAACTCACATTCAAATCCAAACCGAGTTTTTTGAGTTGTCACATTTCAAGAAGCCATTTGATTACAAACAGTCACAGACAGCAAAGTGTTGAACACATCCCGTGCACGTGTCGACCGAGTTAATGTCTTTTCATTTCGACGGAATTTAGTTCATTCTTTCGCATTTTGCCGTTTAATTAAATTTAATCAAGACGAAGGAACTTGTTTCGGAAAAATAGAACTCGAATATTGAGGAAATTTTTTTTTTAATTTTTATGAAAAAGAAAATTGAACAATAAGGCAAAACGAAGTGAAGTCCAAGAGGAAAAAAGAAGGAAGAAAAGTAGAGAAAGAGAGAGAAGACACAATTGATACCGGACGAAAATCGTAGCATATTCCTGGGGAAAAAACAACCAGAAAGAAGCAGGTAGAGTCAAATATCCAGAAGAAAGGTAAAAAACGAGCTGAAATTGGTGTAATTTCTTGTGAAAATGTCGGACGAGCAACAGTATGCGGAATTGAAGAAAGTGTTGCGCGCTACACTGATATCGATTAAACGGGACGGTGTTTCATTGCGTAGTTTGCAGCAAATTTATCAAGAACGCGAAGGCAGAAGAATACCATTGCTTGGGCATGCCGACGTACGTGGCCTGCTCGAATCGATGACCGACACAGTGTACATGGTAAGAACAACAAACGAATTGCTTTTTTTTATTCGTCAAACTAACCAAAAAAAAAAAAAACAATCATTTGTCAAACGACAATAGGAATGGGACGGAGTTCAGATGCTGGTTTATCCCGTCGATACGGAAAATACGCGGCACATTTCGGAACTGGTGGCCGGGCAACATGTGAACCGATCACGGTAAACCATTTGAATCAATTTGGAATTTTTTTTAAACGATTAAATTAGCATTTTCAACTGGAAATTCCAATTGCCTTAATTCGATCCATTTGCATTATGAATTAAACCGCACGTAAATGACGCAGAATGTTCAAATGCACACAGCACCAATTATCGAAAATCGACCATCATTTTGATTTAAATTCAATCGTATTCACTGGGCTCTGTGCAATGACTATTTGCTGTTGTTCGTTTTTTTTTGTTCTGCTAATGTTTGAATAATGTTGTGTCTCTCCCTCGTTCAGTGGTGGTCGCAAACCGGCAAGCCGACGTGCACCGCATGTCAGTGACTTTGGATGGGATTCGGATCGTAAAAAAACGTCGAGTGTACCACGTTTTGATTCAAAACCACGACGATTCGATGCAAATGCTTCACGTAAACCGAGTGCAAGCCAATACTCGTACACCAGTTCATATCAAAAATATGCGGACTCTTACGTGACACCACGAACCACTCGAGATGATGAAATTTGCCAATTTAATGACGACCTTTCAAATGAATACACGCACACGAATGGGACGTCAAAGACCAAAACAATCAACGATTATCGCAAACAATACGCCGACAATGGCAGCGACCGAACATTTAACAGCTACGGCAAAACTATCGAATCGGTCGACAAACATGCCAACGAAAATGGACACGATGGATTGGATGGCAGCAGCACTGGCATTGATATTAACTGTACACTCTTGCTATTCGATGAACATTGTATTGAATTTGACAATTTGCCACGCATCAAATTCAACCAACACTTTGAAACTGGCCGAAAAATGCGCGTCTTTATCGCGCAAATTCATAGCCCGTACAAGTTTTGGTTTCAACTCAAAGACGATGGCGAGAATATCGAATCACTCATGAATGCACTAGAGTAAGTTTTCGTTTTTTTTCTTCGATTTTTTTTTTTTGGTTAGTTGTATTTTTCCAATTCTAAGTTTATCGCCAAATTTTGATTCAGTTCTTTAAATTAGTTGAAACTATTTTCACTTTCATTTGCTTAAGCAAGTGTTCTGTACCTGAAATGTTGACGAGAATATAACAACCCTAATCGATTTGCGTATCTTTTGCAGACATTTCTACCACAGCGATGACAATATGATTAGCAAGGCACCCATACCAGAAAGCTATCTTACGTTGGGCCGAATCTGTGCAGCAATGTACGATACCCAATGGCATCGAGCCGAAATTATTGAAGTGTTGGACATTTCACTGAAGGTAAGTTGCATTTGGAAACAGTGTTTTCGTGGCAAATTTATCCAATTTTCAAACATGTTCAATCGATTCCATCGAAAATGTAGGTGCTCTATGTTGACTATGGTACGGTTGGTGAGGTAGAAAAAAAAGCCGTTCGATTCTTGCATAAGCGATTCTCGCAGGATCCAATTTATGCACATCGAGGTTGTCTAGACAAGTGCAAACCGAACGATGGTATTTGGACACTAAAAGCAATGGAAGCATTTACACAGCGTTTAATTGAGTTCTTCACTCTTCCGATCATGGCCAAAGTGATGAACGTCAATGTCGAGGTATGTCATCATCTTTTCTACTTTGGCATTTATTTATATCGCTTATAATTTTATGTAAATAAAAAGGGCGTTGAAATTCATTGAATAGGAAATTGAATTGAATCTTAGAATAAAATAACGAAGTAAACTATCAATTAAGCGATTAAATAAACAATTTTGAAATTCTAGGAAAAAACGTCATACTTGGATCTGATTGACACGACTGGTGTAATCGATCGAAGCATCAGCGATTGGTTGATTGAAAATAATTTTGCGTATCCAACCAAAAAACTGGTGAGTGTGTTTACACAAAATCTACATCAATTGCTTCCTCAAAATTCATTTTCATCCAACTTGTTCGAATCCAAATCATCCGTGTTTCATTGTCATTATTTATTGAATCAGTTTTTAATGATATTTGCTAAATAATTGTGTTTAAATTCGTTGTTTAAAATGGTTCTACCGTTTGTTTTTCATTCGTACAGTTGTTGGATTTCACGAAGCGCCACTATAACGAGGTGTATCCATCGTGAGTATATCGCGTGCAAATTGATCAAATAAATTGCTATTTGAATTGAGTTGAAAAGCTAACAACACTGTGTGTGTGTGTGTGTGTTTCTGTTTTGTTTCGGTAGATTTGAGCGGTTAGAGACGGGCAGATATCCATCGTTCCAGGAAATAAAGCGAATGCTCGACGAAGGTTTTGACTTCTTGGATTATGAAGATTCAATCATCATTCCCGAGATGTATGGCTATGAAACAATTGAGTGATTTGCCGTCTGTGTCTCAAAACACACTACACTTATCCTCTCAAATGCTAACCATTTATTACTTTTTGTTTATGACAACAAATAAAATCAGACACAATAACGATACAAACATAAAGTAACACATGACAAATGTCAATAACAACAACTCGAAACAAAAACAATGTAAATCGAAATGAAATCGACGAAGAAAAAAAATGAACATTTTAGACGAACTAAATTTAGTTACAATTAAAAATAAGAAGAAGAAAAAACACAATGTTCGAACGACAAAAATAGTTTGTTATCAAAACAAGCGCAATTTCAATGAATTTCATAGTAATTGTGAACCATGTAAACTATATTGACGGATGTCATGAAACTAAGATGCAAATCCATTAAAGATTTGATATCTTGAAACAATAAACTCAAGTGATTTTAATGTACTGCTCTCTCTCTCTCTCTCTCTCTCTCTCTCTCTCTCTCTCTCTCTCTCTCTCTCTGTTTTGGAACTACCGAATTATTGTAAAAAGCGGGCGAATAAAAAACAAATCCGAAACATTGAACTTGTTCGTGTAGCATATGTGAGTAAATGAAATAATGTAGGGCGCCATAGATCGACAGTATGTGATGGTGTGCACGTCGGGCGGCCAGTTGAACAAACTCACAAAGAGAGCTAGCTCTACACAATCAGATTGAAACAATAACGCAAGTGGCTTTACAACGAAAACAACAACAACAACAAAAATGGTTCAATGAAAGGAAAAATGAAACCCGTTGACCTCACTTACAGCGATAAAACGGCCCGATAAAAATGGAATAAAAAAAAAATGATGATGAAGAAGAAGTACAAAATAAATAAAGAAGACAAACGTTCGGTCAATTAAGAGCCATGATACATGTGACATCGCCACTTGCATTTCGATGTGCGGATTCGTTATCGAGTCTCTGCTGCTGCTGCAGCGGCGGCGGCGGAGATGGTGGCTACTACTGAATGCTCTTTGCATGCAATCGCAATTCTTTTCGTTTGTTTGTTCTTGTTTCGACTTCTTCGTTTTGAGTGTTGTTTGCATAGGATGTAAAACGAGTTGGGATTTTGTGAATGGCCGCGGCCAAATGGGAAAGGATGGATCGCTTCCACGGAAGACCAAGTGCAGAGCAAATGGATGCATCGATTCAAAAGAAACACATTCCAGATATAGATGCAGTTCAAGTGGTTTTACAGTTTGTTTTCAATCATACAATCGTGTGTAATCGGATTTCATTTGTGTGTGAGAGAGAAAAAGAGAGAGAGACAGAGCTCGGCTCAATTATTACTCGAACTCCGTACACACACTCAACCGAAAGCCAAACCAATCCAACTGATTTTATTTTTTCCTCCGACGAATTCCAATTTAAATGCGCTCAAGAGTTCGTTTGTTTGCTTTCTCTCTCTCTCTCTCTCTCTCTCTCTCATTCTTATAATCCTGCTTCTTCTTCTTTCATTCCGCTCAAATGTATATTTCGTTTGCTGTTTCTCAACAATTTTATCATCTCGTAGGCATTTCCGTATCATGTGCCTCTTTGCATACCGTTACTACTGTCATGTATTTTTTTTTGTTGCTGTTGTCATTATTAATTTGAATTTCATATCTGCATGCGCTCACATGTTTGTGTCACGCTTGTGAAACACACACACACACACACACAGGGATTGGCATCTGTTGCGCTCCCGTTATTTGGAAATGCGCCGACAACGATGACGACGGCTGCTCAGCCACGAAATTGAAATGATCATTTAAACACAAAAATAAGTATCAAAATTCGATTTGCTTTCCCTTTTTATCGGATGCTTGGCTTTCTTAATATCGCGCTTCTGTTTGTTCCCACTCGGTCGCGACAATCCACTTTTGCGTGAAATTCGTTGTGTTGATACTGCGTTTCTTTTTCGCAGCCATTCGTTTGTCATAATTAATTTACCAAATAATCGACCGATGGTTTTTTTTCTTCTTCCATTTCAATTTTTTTTACATTCCCGCCTGAACTCATTCGATATGTATTTGTTTACGCAATTTTTTCATCGTTTCAATGCGCGATCGAGTGAGCGAATTTTTTTCGAGTTGGAGTGCGATTTCTTGTTCGATTGGTAATCGCAAGCAATTCCATAACTCAGGCCACATTTAATTGAATTCGAAAGATAAACACACATTGATTTCACATTACGGCGCAAAGCGAGCGAATGCATTGGATGCCAAGAGGTACTTTTATTTAGAACCCAACGTGCGCGCCATCATCAGCACGCATTTTAATCGACACTAATCAAAAACTGTCAGACAGTGTCTACAGAACACTTCCTTGTTGTGGCCGACAAACCAATCTGATAACATTTCAGTTGTGAATTGCGCGCATGCCGCATGCAACTCACTCACTCGGTCGTGATACGCGATTTTTATTATTGGTGTGACATTTGCTGAATGAATGGGACTGAAAACTCCATTCTGAGAAATTATCACAAAGACTTGTTTTTTACACGCACAACGAGAACGATCGAATGAAAAATACGCACAGTTGAAAAGGTGATCACTGCAAACGACTTGATTCACAAGAAGTCAGTCGACTTTTTTAGGAAAAAAAGTTGAGTGCGAAAAGAGGGTTCAAGAAGGAGGTGTGAAAAAAAAGGATTTTTTGTGTGTCGATTTTTCAATGAATTTCGCCCGAATAATTGACATAAATTCCGAAATTATGAATGATGCCAGCAAAATTGTGAGTAATTGAAGCAAAAAACAGCAAGCTACGACTTCATGATGCGTTGAATTTCATGCCGTCACTTTTTTTTCACACTCTCTTTCATTGCAAAAGTTGAGTGTCGTTGAAATGTTGCCATTGCTCTCGCTTTTAAAACATTTTCCAAGAATTGTATCTTTATGACTTCATTTTATTCCATTTTTTCCATATGGAAGATATCTTTTTTTTAGACTCATTTGTTTTCTTCTTCTTCTTCAATTTGGTTCCCCTTCCCATTTTCCATGTGAAATGTATTCATTCGTAAAATTTGTCATGCTTCGAGCTTATTTCTTTAATTGGCACTATATTTACATTTCGTGCGTATTGAAAATACATTTTGAGCAAACAAAAATCGATTTGTTTGTACGTATGTTCATCGTTCTCGGGATGAGTTTGATAACTCATTCGTCCGATAATGTTGTTCAGCGTGGTTGTCGTCCTTGTTGTCTGTTGTTTCTTTTATTTGTGTTGACTATTTCATTGTTGTGGAGACCAGAAGTCTCTGGAATTCCTTTCCAGGGTTTAAAATTCTTGTCCCAGTTTCACTTCTACTAAACAAGGGGGAAAATCAATTTTTTTAACGAACACAAAAAAAACCACGATTACAGTTACGTTTCGATCAGAGCCATTAATCAGTCGGTAATTATCGGTAAAAATTTGCATTTTAATTTCGTTGCACGTCCATTCCAATTAAAATGTTCATTAAATACATTTCACCCGTTGGGACTTCGCACACCGTTAATTTTTTCTCTCTCACACAACCATTATTATTTAAACTCAAAATAACGCAAAAATGAACAGAAAAAAAATTGTGCGATGCTCACTTCATTCACGTGTTACCACCTTTTTATTATTCGCACCACGCGACCAGTATATGCTTTTCAATTAATTCTTCAAACTTTTGCACACTTTTTTCCCTGTGATTATTCTCATGTGTCAGTTCTTTTTTTCCTCTCTCTATCTGACTCGCTCTCTCTCTCTCTCTCTCTCTCTCTCTCTCTCTCTCTCTCGCTATTGCCAGGGGTTGTTAAATTATTGTTTGATTTCACTGAACCGTTATTTAATAAAAACAATTTTTCTCGATTAAATTTTTTTCTCTCGCTGCAAACCGCAATTTGCGCACACTCAACAAATAAACACGGAGAAAAAGTTTCAAGTGAGAAAACGAAATAGTTGCACAAAGAACTTGTTAGATCAAATCTTTTGAATGAACACAATTAAAAGTAGACAATTTCATTAATTGGCTCCCATAGGGAAATGTTCATCGCTTGTTGTGTGTGTGCTTTTTTCTTGAACGATTTTCTTTCTTTCTGCGCTTGATCATTGGAATCGCACACAAGATTACATCAGTTGCATGCAAAAATCAGTTGACACACGTTCGTGTTCATATTTTTAATGGTCGTTCGCGAATTAACGGTGATATTCATTTTGAGCCGAATGAGAGAAATACACACAAAAAAATAACGAATATTCACATTCTTTTGTCAAATGTGCAAAATTATTACGTGAATTCACTTGAACTTGTCGCATTCTTTTTGTTCCCTCTCTTTCTGTTTCTCTTTTTCAATTCAATGAATACGCTTTTTGAGACTCAGTCTTGCAAAATAATTCGTTTTTTTTTAAGAGACAAAATTTCTTCATTTTTTTCAAACAGAATTTCTCTCTTTCTGTTTCTTTTTGTTTTGAATAATTGAATGAGACTCATTCAATGAGTTATTATGATTTTTTTCTCTCTCGCCGTTACATTCACCTAAAACAGATTAAATGGTTTTCTTTTTTGCTATTCTGCCCACACGCCGTACACGAAATAAAAATAGAGTCTAATTTTCAGATGAAGCAACGTGGAATCGAGCAAAACTGACGTTGGGGCTACAGTAAATAGAGCCAAGGAAAGGTAAACAAAATAGTCCATCTGGCCATCTGGATGAGAAAACAACGATACAAATAAAACGATATTGGCTTATGCTAAAAAAGCGGTGTCATGACCGCTTTTTTTTACCGGGGAAGTCTGACAAATTGGAAAGTTTACCATTTTTTTCTGCCGTTTTTTTTATCATTGCCTTCATTCGGAAAATGAAGTTTCCCTTGCTCAAAGAAAGGTCTTTTCCCATTCGTTTTTTGCTTCTTCTTCTTCTTTTTTTTCTCCTTCATTTTCTTCTTCACATTATTTTTCGTTTCCATTTCATCTGCACAAAAAATCGTCATATCAATTGACCATTTTCGGCACCAGGCAGAACGAAAATCGATTACAAAGTTTCGTGTTGGACTAATAGCAATGTCATCGGAAATCCCACGCAAATCAAATGTTTGTTCACGGAAAATGCGGCGTTGATTCATGTTTTTGGCTGAACACTTGAACGCACCAAGTAATAATGGGAAAAAGCTGCAAATGATAGTAGCAGCGACAAAGAAAAGTGATTGAAATTTAAGTGGAATCACTTAAGATTGTGTCTGATAAGATTCTGATAGCCGTTGTTTGTCATCACAGCCGCCTTCGCATGTCAACAATTCCACGAATGAGTCTTTTTGACCTCAACCATGGCAACGATATATTCAAATTGGTGGAAAACAAAAAATTGGCGGTAATTTATTGGCAAACGAGAGAGAGAAAAAATGCTCTCAAAAGCTTCGCGAAACAAAAAAGAGCGATAGACTGCAGTGGGAACAAAAATAATGGCAGAAAAATCCTGTCAAATTCCCGGTTGACTGATTGCGGGAACAAGTGTATTTCTCAAAAACACATCAAATGTAATTGTAAAACGGCCCTTGGGTAAATAAGTTTTTGTTGATTTTGATGTTGGTTAACGCGAAAATCGATCGACATGTTTTTTTCCCGTTCAAATGACTGGACCCAATCCAAATTGAAATGTTTAAAATTCAATTAAACGTTTGTTGTTGTTATTGTTCTGTTCTTTTTTTCTCTGCATATGGTTAAACTATTCCGCTCGTTCACTCCCTCGTGTGCACTCTGCACACAATTGTGCATAAATATTTTTGTTTGTTTTATCTATCGATGTATTCGATTTTTGTGTAAAATACGCGCGCGTTTGTGTATATTTCATTCGAAAAATGTTTGTGTTATTTGTGGAAAAACAATGCGATTATTGGCAATCAAACTTGTTCAGCAAAACCGCAAACAAACAGAAAAATAAATTGAATTCGCGAAGCAATTGTGCGAGTTTGTTTTTATTTTGTGCTCGTCTTTGTCCATTACAAATCATAACATATTAACTAGATATCCAGGAAAAAGGCGAGAGAGAAAAGCGAGGAATGAATTGGAATGGTTTTGGCAGTGTGGCCGAGAGAGCACATAAAGCGAAATAAAACGCGCCCAGAATTGAAAATGACGATTTGAAGAGAGGTATGTTATTATTTATTATTTGTTGCATCGTTTGATTGAATGTGCTGTTGTAGTGCGTGGACAAAAGGCGGTTGTGGAGATAGTGTTGGCCGTCGAACACTTTCGAACACTTGTTCGACCGTTCGACAACATAAAAAAAAATTGTTTTGTTCGTTCGTTCGTTCGAAAGTTTTGTAAAAACTTATTTTGTTCGTTCGTTCGTTCGAAAAGTTGAAAATTATTTTTTTTGCTCGTTCGTTCGTTCGAAATTTATTTTAAAAAAATGTTGTTCGTTCGTTCGTTCGGAAATTGCTATGTTCGACCGTTGGGATTTTTTAAATTTGAAATACATAGGAAGCAAATATTTCTTTGGCTAAGACTGAAGGTACAACGTTATTACCGGTGTTATTACTCAGTAATACCACTGGTAATAATTA